ACGCTGCATTAAAAACAAGGAACTCATGCAATATTATTCAAAATGGGTGACCCTGAAGGACATTATGCTGAGTGAAATATCTCAGTCACAAACTGACAAATACTGCATGGTGCCACTATTGTAGAACGGGACTGACATCAGCGTTGGGCTAAGACTGAGAAAAACTGGATAAATTATGTATACTGCATTGAAACAGATGAGGGAGAGAAAAATTTAAAAGCGATATATGAGAGGGTATTATGGTTATCACAAGAGTCCAGAATTAAAGTTGCACAGTGGAATGTACTCGGGGTAGTGGGAGGGATGCGGGGGGATTGTATACCAAAGAAAGAATTTTTCTTTTACTTTTCAAAGAGAGGAGCGAACTGGGGCGGGGGAGGTGGGGAGGGAGGGTTGGGCAGGGAGAAAAGTGCAACAATGAATGAATGGAAATCTGTAAATATTCATTAAAATTAAGAAAATTTTAAAAAGTGCAGCGGATAAGAGGAACATTTTAATTTTTTAAAACTTTAATTAACGTCCTGACGCTAGACATACTTACCAGGTTGTGCCAAGAAATCTGGAGGACAATTACCTGGTCAACTGAGTTGAAGAGATCCATATTTATTCCCATTTCAAAAAAAGGGTGACCCGGAAAAAAAATTAAAGAAAGGTGACCCAAGAGAGTGTGAAAATTATCAAACAATATCACTAATAGCACACACAAGCAAAATCCTGCTGAAGATTATACAAAAACAACTGAAACAGTACATCGACAGAGAACTATCAGAAATTTAACCTGGGTTTAGAAGAGGTCTTGAAGGCACTAGAGATATTATTGCTAATGTCAGATGGATCTTGGTGGAAAGCAAAGAGTACCAGAGGAATATCTGTTACTGGGAAAATCTGTTCTTAAGGACTGATTCGAAGTGCTAAAGAGCAATGCTTTAAAAACTAAAGTGTGTCTGATCTAAGCCATGGTCTTTCAATTACTTCCTATGCATGTGAAAGTTAAATAATGACTAAACATGACTTAAGAATTGATGTCTTTGAATTATGACATTGGAGAAAATTACTGAATATTGCATATGCTGCCAAAAGAACAAATAGGTATATCTTGGAGAAGTTGGAAGTAGGGTGCTCCTTGGAGGCAAGGATGGTGAATCTTTGTCTCACATACTTGGAACATGTTGTTAGGAGGGGCCAGTCACTGGAAAAGGACATCGTGCTTGGAAAGGTGATATGTGAGCCAATACAAAAATGTACCATCTAGAATTCTTTATTTGCAATTTTGGCCTTTAATCAACACTTGTAACTCAATAGCTCTTTACTAGTGTAATGCAACTTTCCAACGATGGTATTTTTAATTCCTTTATATGCATCTGAATGTTGGACAGTAAGTAAGGATGACAGAAAAGTCCATGGCTTTGAATTGTGGTGCTGGCAAAGAATGTTGATTATATTACATTGTTATGTGCTTAATTGGAACCCACTCATAGGTGATCTTCCAATGGGCTTTCAGAGGTTTTAAATCACGATACTAAAGAGTTGAATAGAAGATTTCAAAAGGCAGCACGGGATGACAAAGCAAAATATTACAATGAAACGTGCAAGGAGTTGGATCGGAAAATCAAAAGGGCTGAACTCGCTCAGCATATCTTAAGCTCAAGGAACTGAAGAACAAATTCAAACCTCAAGTTGCTATAATCAAGGATGCTTTTGGCAGAACGTTAAATGATCCCGGAAGTATTAAAAAAAGATGGAAGGAATATACTGAGTCACAGTATCGAAAGGAATTGGAAGACACAGAAGAATTTCATGAAACAACGTATGAGCAAGAGCCTATAGTGATGAAAGAAGAAGTTCAGGCTGCTTTGAAGGACATGGCCAAAAATAAGGCTCCAGGAATAGATGGTATACCAATTGATATATTTCAGTTAACAGATGCTGCCCTGGACGTGCTCACCAAGTTGTGCCAAGAAATCTGGAGAATGACCACTTGGCCAACTGACTGGAAGAGATCGATATTTGTTCCTATCCCAACGAAAGGCGACCCAACCGAATGTGGAAACTACAGAACAAGCTCACTGATTTCACATGCAAGCAAGATTTTACTGAAAATTATCCAAAAACTACTGGAACAGCACGTCAACAGAGAACTACCAGAAGTCCAGGCTGGTTTCAGAAGGGGTCGTGGCACTAGAGATAGTGTAGCTGATGTTAGATGGATCTTGGCTGAAAGCAGGGAATACGAGAGTAATGTCTATCTGTGCTTCATTGACTATGCAAAGGCATTTGACTGTGTAGATCATAACAAACTGTGGCTGACTCTGAGAAGAATGGGAATCCCAGAACACTTGATCGTTCTTATGCGAAACTTATACTTGGACCAGGAGGCAGTCGTCAGAACAGAGCAAGGGAACACTGCATGGTTCAAAATTGGGAAGGGCGTACGCCAGGGATGCATCCTATCTCCATACCTCTTCAACCTATATGCAGAACAGATTATCCGGGAGGTTGGGCTCTATGAGGAGAAATGTGGGGTCAGGATTGGTGGACGATTTATCACCAATCTGCGTTATGCGGATGACACAACTCTGCTTGCTGAAACTGAGGAGGACCTGAAGCACCTGCTACAGAGTGTCAAGGACTGCAGCCTGCAATATGGATTGAGGCTCAATGTCAAGAAGACAAAGATTCTCACCACTGGACCAATCGGCAGCATCAGGATGGATGGTGAAGAGATTGAGATTGAACACAGCTTTAGTCTGCTTGTCTCCATAGTCAACAGTCTTGGCACCAGCAGCCAGGAAATTAAAAGGCGCATTGCCATGGGAAAGTCTGCTGTTAGGGACCTCTCCAAAGTGCTGAAGAGCAGTGGTGTCTCTCTGGAGACTAAGGTGCGTCTGATACAGGCCATAGTCTTCGCAATCACCTGTTATGCATCAGTGAGTTGGACAATGACCAAGGAGGATAGAAGGAGAACTGATGCCTTTGAGCTGTGGTGCTGGAGAAGAGTACTGAGAATACCATGGACTGCTAGCAAAACAAATAGATTTGTCCTGGAGAGGGTTAAACCGGGTGGCTTCTTGGAGGCAAGGATTCTGAGGCTCCGTCTAACTTACTTCGGACATGTAGTGAGGAGAGACAGTCCTTGGAGAGGGACATCATGCTCGGGAGGGTAGAGGGACGGCGCAGGAGAGGAAGGCCCTCTATAAGGTGGATTGATTCAGTGACTGGGATAATTGGGATGGGAGTGTCAGAGACAGTGTGATTGGCACAGGACAGAGCGGAGTTTAGGGCTGTTGTACATAGGGTCGCTATGAGTCGCAGGCGACTCGACGGCACATAACAACAACAACAACAACAAGGGGTAATTGCCCATCTTTTTCCCAAGGATCAGCTGGTGAATGCAAACTGCCTGTCTGGCAATGTCACTCCTTATTACTGAGTCACTAGAGTTCCCTATTCAGTATACCATGGACTGGCAAAAGAACATACCTTTCTTGGAGGAAGTGCAATCAAGGTGTTCCTAAGAGACAAGGATGGGAACCCTTGTCTTGCATACTTTGGATGCACTGTCAGGAGGAACAAGTCTTAGAGAAACACATCACAATGAAAAGGTAGAGGCTCAGAAAAAGAGAGAAATACTCTCCATGAGATAGATTAACATAGTGAATATAACAATGAGCTCAAGGATGTCAGTGATGATGAGGATGGTGCAGAATTGGGCAAGGTTCTGATCTGTTTTTCTGAAGTTTGCTAAGAGCTGTACTCAACTTTATAGCAACTAACAACAATAAACCTTTCGTTTTTAATTTTAAACAAATTCATGGTTCTACTGCAATCCATAAACAACAATTCCATATACTTTTACAGGGCATTAAAGAAGTAAACTAATTTGCTTCAGTATCCATAGCAAAGAATTTGAACTTGATGAAAGTTGTACATTCAGATTCATTCACTATATTAAAGAAAAAGATTATTATAGAAAAATATCAATAAAATAATAGGCAAAGTATCAAAGAAAAATACTTCATTGTAGAGAAAGGTATCAATATAATAGGCAATAGTAGTAGCTTATAGTAAAAACTGCTAGCTAAATATTAAATTTTAAAAATTAATTATTAAATTTTAAAAACTAGTAAGTAAACTAGTTTTAGAAGATCTAAGAACATCAAGCTATTCATAAAGAGGTAGTTCCATTATCTTTTTTTATATCCAGTGAAAAGTAGACCGTATTTTGTATTGCTGATTGTTAGGAAGTGTAAACTTGTTCCTCTGAGGTGGTACTGATGTCAAATAAAACCTGTTCTAGCTGAAGTAGTACTGAACAAGAGTGTGCCCCCTTAATTTGAATCCTCATCCTTCTAAATTCAGCTGAATATATTGTTTTATCAGTTTATGGCTCACTTGATGATGCCTTCTTAAGATGACATACAAAATATTTAGACAGAAAAAATTTCTCTTGAACATTTAAAAAAATTGTCAAAATATAGCATTGTCTTCTGCAGTGTCTTTATTCCTATTTCCTCCATCACAAAAGGACTACTGTGGATTCTCAGTTTTTTCCAGGCACGTTTATATCCCCTGCTCCTTAAATATCAAGCCCACTACTGTGGAGTTGATTCTGACCCATCGTGAGGTTAGTCTAGAACTGTCCAGAGGGTTTTCAAGGCTGTAAATCACATGGAACGGGACTGCCACATCTTTTATACTCTTCTTTCTTCCTGAGTGGTTGGATCCAAATCACCGACTTTTCAGCTAGTTAGCAGTGTGAGAGCTTAACCACAGCGCTGCCAGAGTTACTTGTCCTAGAATTACTGTTGTTAGGTGCCTCTCAGTCGGCAAGTCACATTGGCCCTAAGAATCGCGCGCGCGCGCGCGCAAAGGTGGCGGAAGGCCCCAGATCTGCGCACGCGCGGGCCTTTGCGGGAGCGGGGGTGGGGGTTGGGGTGACTACGTGCGCAACTCGCGTGAGCCACGGGCCCGCCGCGGTCGGGGAGAAGGTGGCAGTCGGGATGCTACTTCTGGCCGTCGGAAGCCCCTTGGCGACTCGGTTGCGGCTCCGGGGGAAGCAGGCGGCTCTGTGGGCGTCGGCTGCATTCCGAGACCCCAAGGCTGCTGCCTCCTGGGCGGCCACTTGGAGGAGTTCCTCGGGCCTGGTCAGCGGTGGGACCCCGGTGCTGCGGGGAACCGGCCCACCTCCCCAGGGTCTGGGGCGAACGCAGGTCGGTGGTTCGAGGGCGAGCGCCCCGGAAAAGGGCAGTGAGGGTGGGCGAAGCTCCCGGCCTTGGTGGGAGGAGGGGCCAGCTCTTTTTGTTTCCTTCCAGACTTGCGGCCTGCCGGATGCCATAGTGCAGAAGGAGTTGCGCGGGTCTTGCACAAGGGTCTATCTACTTACTAGGCCTTAGCCTCTGCAATCACCGGGTCCCGGAGTTCACAGGCTTCCTTGTGCATGGGGTTGCTATTAGTCTCAGATGACTCGACAGTTCATAACAACAAGTAGCGTGATTGCTTTTCCGGGGGTTTCCGAGTAGTGTAGGCTCATGATTCCTCGGTTTATTCCCATTTTCTGCCCTTAAGCAGAAAGTGACAAGAGTTACTTTACAAAGAAATTGAACGCAATTATTGGAGACATACCGAAATTCTGTTTAGTTTTTTATGGTTCCTATTCGATTGAGTCCATTCAAACTCATAGTGACAGGATCAGTGCCGCCATGGAGCAGTTGGTAGAATCAATCCGCCGACCTTTTGGTTAGCACAGCAAATTATGCCACCGGAGGCCCGTATCGGCCATAGAGGACAGAGTAAAATCCCACAAGTTATCCTATAAATCGTTACAGATACATCTTTGATCCAGTACTTCTCTGTGCAATCAGAGGTCCTTCGTTTTTCGTTGTTATGTGCTTGCAACTCATAGTGACCCTATGGACAACAGCTCTGAACCCTACTCTATCGTGTAGCAACCTTCTTTTCTCTGACACACCTACGCCCATTACCCCAGTCACTGAATCAGTCCATCTCATCAAGGGTCTTTCTCTCCTGTGCTGTCCCTCTCCAAGGACTGGTCCTTCCTTGCAACATGTCCAAAATATGTCAGGCGCCTCTATTTTTAGTATTCCTTTGGCCTCTGGAAAGTAAAATTTGTAGATGTTAACCTAGTCATTTTAATTAGAATAAATGCTAATTTACTTGGACAAAATGCATATTATAGGATTGAGATAGAATTTAAATTTCAATGTAAAGTAGTTAGTCATGGCAATTACATTTTTAAATACGTGCTGTGAAATTAATTTTCAGATTTTCTCTGTGTTTCCGGAAATTGGTATGGCATTTCAGGATTCCCACCCCCCCTAACAGCATACTGTTAGGAGAGGCTAGTCCTTGGAAAATGACACCAGGCTTGGAAAGTTGGAGGATCAGCAAAAGAGAGGAAGATCCTCAATACGTGGAATGATAAATGGGCTCAAGTATATCCGAGATGATGAGAATGGCACAGGAGTAAGTACAGAGTAGAGAGTTGCCAAGAGTCCTAGTTGACTCCTACAGCACATAACAACAGTAATTTGCAAGATATGTAGGGAAAGTGTTGCTTTCATTTGGGCTTCTAATGTAACGACCTGTTTGAATCCACCAGCTCCTCTGGGAGAGAGTTGTAAAACTTTACAGCTTCTTTTGAAAAGAGAATTTATTTGCATCTTTTAAGACAGAGCAGAAGAAACTATTTCACTGCCCTGTTAAATACTGAAGATTACAGTAGATCTGAGAAGCTGAAATTCAAATCTAGATCTTCAAACCCCAATTCAGCCTGTTCTTACTTGTGACTGGAATTAGGGAAAGCTGGTGTTTTGTTTTTTTTTTTTTTAGCTTTGGAGGTTATTTGGGAGAATAGTTTGTATCACTACATATAACAAGTTGTCTCTTATTCTGCATTATATTAATTTTAAAAAATTGGCCTGAAATGCACATGATTATGTACATAGTCATATTGTAATGGTCTCTGTTTCAATAGAAGGTCTCTGTTTGCTGCAAGGGATGTGTTCGATGCTTACATAAACAACCTGAAAAATCAGAAGATGGAAGGCTGATCTACACTGGAAATCTGGCCCGGGCAGTATTTGGTGGGTAATCAGAAGTAGGACTATCTCCTTTTCATTTAATTGTGAAAAATACACTTAGCATATGATACCTGTTATTTACCATTCCTTAATTACAAGGGTTGACAACAGCAGCAGTCCAAAATTGACCAAACATGCAATCAAAATGCATTAATGATAAATGGTAACTGGAATGCAAATGCTGGAAACAGTCAAGAAGGAGTAATAGTTGGAAAATATGGGCTTGGTGATAGAAATGTGGCTGAAAATAGAATGATCAAAGTTTGTATTTTCAGTGATTTATTTATTGCAAATACCTTTCCGAAAAAACACAAATGGTAACTTTACACATGAACCTCACATGGCGGGCCACATAGGAATCAGATTGACTACATCTATGGAAGGAATCGTTGGAGAAACTCATTATCAGCAGTCAAAACCAGGCCAGGGGTGGATTGTGGGTCAGACCATCAATTACTCTTATGCAAGTTCAAATTGAGGCCAAAGAAAATAAGTCCATGAGAATAAAAATGTGATCTTGAGTCTATTCCATCTGAGTTTCAAAATCATCTTAATAGGTTTCACCAGATGATCTGCTGGAGAAGGAGGGACAATCTCCCTCCTTTGTTGTCAGTCAGATCCGATTTAATGGCACTCAACAAGTTAAAAAAAAAAAGAGAATAGGTTTGATCACACCAGTGATCAAAGACCAAATGGGTTGTGGGATAATATCATCCATTAAGAAAGCAAAAGTTTCTTAAAAAGACAGAGGGGAAAGGAAAAACCAAACCAAAATGGATGTCAAGAGAAGGCTCTAAAAACTGCACTAGAGCGCAAAGCTCTAAGAAGCAGCCAAAACAAAGGGAAAACATGCCCAAGTAAGAGGTGAACAGAATATTTCAAAGGGCAACTCGAGAAGACAAAGCAAAAGATTATAATGGAATGTACAGAGCTGGAATTGGAGAATAAAAAGGGAAGAACTCTATTTCTCAAACAGGGAGAACTGAAAAACAAATTTAAGTCTTGAGTCGCAATATTGAGAGAGATGCAGTGGGCAAAAAAGATGGAGGGAACACCAGAGTCACTGTACCAAAATGAACTGACTGACATTAAAAAATTTCAGGAAGTACCATATGAACAGGATCCAATGGTAATGGAGGAGGAAGTTGAACTGAAGGCATTGGAAAAAAATAAGGCCCCAGGAGTCAATGGGATACCAATTGACTTGTTTCAGTTAACAGATGCAACACTGGATGCTCTCAGCCCTCTATGCCAGAAAATTTGAGGACCCTTATCTGGCCAACGGATTGGAAGAGGTCCATGTTTGTTCCTATACCCAGGAAAGATGATCCAACAGAATGTGGAAAGTTATTCAACAGTATCATTAATACCACATGCAAGCAAAAATACTACTGGAGATCATTCAAAATTGCTAGATAAATACATAGAAAGGGAACTGGCAGAAGTTCAAACAGGATTTAGAGAAGGCTGTGGCAACAGGGATATCATTAGTGATGTCAGATGATCCTGGCTGAAGGTAAAGAATATTGAAGAATGTCTATGCTTTTTTGACTATGCAGAGACATTAGACTGTGTGGATCATAACAGGTTAGGGCTATTACTGAGAAGAATGAGAATCCCAGAGCATTTAATTGTGCTTATGGGAAACCAAATCTATACTTAGACCAGGAGGCTGTTGTCCAAACAGAGCAAGGGAACACTACATGGTTTAAAATTAAGAAGAGAGTGCATACATAAAAATGATTTAATTGTTTAAATGAAGTATTATTTGTTGATAGAAACGGAATATTCTTCCCATATACTTTTCTATGATTAATAGGGTTTTTTAAATACCATCTCAATTCTTGGCACTTAGCCTGATAAAAAGTTTACCATGTGTGATTATTGTGTGTTAGATATATGAAACTTCTTATTAACAGAAAGTTTTATAATCTACTGACTGGATCAGCTTTATAGTATTAATAAAGATCTTTGAAGAATAGTAATTTTTCTATTCAGGAGCTGAGTTGGAGGCCCTTAAGCCCTGAAATAGTTTCTAACTTGGAGAGGCTGTTCGCTGGTAAATGGCATGGACTCCAGAGACACATTGATAGGCTTTGTATCCCAACTCTATTACTTGCTAGCTATGTGTTGTTGTATGAGTGTTTCATTTTCCTTGTGTTAGATAGGCAGGATGCTAACATGGTGACAATAATTAGATATGTGTCATTAGAGCTTTGATAATTGTAAAAGGATTAAAACAGAATCTGGCATGTAATAAATATATATTTGATTTTGTTGTTTTGATGACAATATAATGAGGTAGAAAAGAATAGATTGGTTATTTTAGGAATAATTTAAAAATTCTTTCTTTTTCCCCCCCCCTCCTATTTAGGTGTGAAGTGTTTCTCTTATTCTACAAGTGTAATCAGCCTTGCTTTTCTGCCATATATTTTTGCACAAAGTAATATCATACTTGGAAGTCTGCCTTTGCAAATCTTATTTTATGGCGTCATAGGAAGCTTTACGTTGGTCACTCCACTGCTCCTTCACTTTATTACAAAAGGCTATGTAATTCGGCTGTACCATGAGGCAATGACAGACACTTATAAAGCCATTACTTACAATATTTTACTATCAGAAACAAGTACAGTATTTCACCAGAATGATGTGAAGATTCCAAAGAGCCCCCATGTCTTCACCACATTTTATGCTAAAACAAAATCATTGTTAGTTAATCCAGGGCTCTTTCCAAACCCCAAAGACTTTAACCATCTGATGGGCTATGACAAACCGTTCACTTTTGATATGGAAGAAGCTACTGAGAAGACACAATTTAAAAATGAGAAATGACTGTGTTGTCTTTATGTCTTGGCTTAACTGTGACTTATCGATGTATAGTAATAAAATTGCCATTATTTTTGAATGTTGGTGACTGATTCTTAAAACTTTGAAACTATCAAATAGAACTTTGAATTAATTTTAGTGAATGATGGTCATTTATAATAAAATAACATACTTGAAAATGAAAATGTACATAATTTTACATGAGTTTTAGGAAAATGTTGAATATATATACCCATTATGGTACATACAAAGATGATTTTATATAGGCGATGAGGTGGATAAGCATGATTTTTTAAGCTAGTATGTGAAAAGTGAAAAGTAATGGAGAGTTACCTTTTTCTTAGTGTTTGGATTTTTTTGTAAATATAAGGATATATTTTCCCACTTTAAACAACCTTGTTAAAACTAAAAAAATATGAGAATCAATATTAACTTTTTTTGGTTTAAAACACAAATTTTTTTATCCCTCCTTTGGTATTCTTACCCATAAGAAACTTCATGTACAGTCTAGTGTGGTGGTGATGGTGGTGGTTATACGCTGTTGTCTGCAACTCATAGTTACTTGCCTATTCTGAGTCAGTCTCACTAACTTCAACACACCTACCCCCAATACCCCAGTTACTGTATCAGTCCATCTCATCCAAGGTCATCCTTTCCTGTGCTGTCCCGCCACACTTCAAGCATGATGTTCCCTCCTCAGTGACTGGTCTTTCCTGGTCACCTGCCCAAATTATTTGAGACGGAGCTTCAAAATCCTAGACTCCAAGGATAACTTGTTTTCACCCTCTCCAAGACAACTTATTTTCTTGGTATGTTCAATACTCTTCTCCAACCCACAATTCAGAGGCATTGATGATTCTTCTGTCATTGTCCAGCTCTCTGATGCATAACAAGTAATTGAGAAGACCATGGCCTGGATCAGCTGCACCTTAGCCTCTATACTGACATCATTGCTTCTTAGTACTCTGGAGAGTTCCCTGACAGCAGATTTTCCCAGTGCAATTTCTTTTGATTTCATGACTGCTGGCATCAAGTGTATTGATTGTGGAGCGGAGCAAGCTATAACTTAACAACCTCAATCTCTTCTCTTTCTATTATGGTGCTGCCAATTGGCCCAGTGATGAGAATCTGTTTTCTTGATGCTGAGCTTCATATTGGAGACTACAGTCCATGACCATCTACGGGAAGCACTTAAAGTCCTCCTCAGTTTTAGCAGCCACAGCATGTTTTGTTGATGAGTCTTCCTCCAATCCTGATGGCTCATTCCTTATCAGTAAAGCCCAGCCTCCCAAATGATCTGTTCTGCATATAGATTAAAAAGGTATGGAGACAGGATGCATCCCTGACACTCCTTTCCTAATTTTGAACCATGCAGTGTTTCCTTGCTCTGTTCTGAGGACTGCTTCCTGGTCTGAGTATAGGTTTTGCATGAGTGGTTAAATCAAGAAAATTGTGATTTAAACAGTATCTTTAGTGGTCCTATTTGCTCCTCTAGGATCTCTACTCCCTTAGTTCATCCTATTAGAATAGGAAAGTAATTTGTGCAAAATAGATGGGTTGTACCTTCTATATAAGTCAGTAATTTCTATTCTGAATTACCCAACAATCAAATGCTTGTTTTGGAAAAGTTCCAGAATTCTCTCCCTGATGTGTTAAGTACCACTGAATCAGAACTGTCCCTCCAGTGGGTTTTCAGAGGCAGTTAATTGCATGTGAGTGATTCCCCATCTTCCTGAGGAGCAACTGGTGGATTTGAACCACCTTCCCTTTGGTTTGCAACTCAGCATATCTTTCTTTAAATGTCCATCTCCTTGTTGCCAGCGAGTGCATATGATCATTTAAATGTTTTCACTTATATGGAGTGGGGAAGTCCTATTGGTATAAGAATTCTTCAGAAGATAACATGTTTGTGGGGGAAAATAAGTAGAAAAGTGGGCATCCATGTTTGTCACACTGTCAAAACACTATTCACAATACCAAAAAAGAATCAATGTAAGTGTCCTTCAGCACATGAGTGGATAAACTATGGTCCACACACAATGGAATATTAACCAATATAAAGTGATAAACATAACATGGTCAAACCTGGAAGGCATGTTGAGTGATAAAAGACAATCACAGAATGACTAGTGTGTGTGAGATCTAAAGAAACCTACTGTCATCAAGTAGATTCTGACTCTTGTAACCTTTTTATCTCTTTCTTGAGCAGTACCTGGTGGACTCAAATGACCAGCCTTCCAGTTACCATCCCACCATGTACCTCATCATGCCACTAGACCCCTTACCATATAAGACCAGTATTATAAAGTATCAAGAAGAGATTCTTGCGTACAAGAAAACATTTATAGTTAGTTTCTAGTGTTTGGAGGGAGAGAAAAGGAAAGTTACTAACTAGACAGCAAATGTGTATTAAGCATTGAGTTAAGGAAAAGGTAATAAAAAATCATTCTACAACGTGACTTCGGAATAAAGGAATATGGGAGAGATGCAAAAGTAAAAATAATAGCTGTAAATACTATTACACAATTCTGTAATAATACTAAACTTACTGTGGTACATAGGGAGTCCTGGTGGTGTAGTTGGTGGAGGTTTGTATTGACAACCCAAAGGCTGCAATTCTCTGGTGGTCTGTATGCACCAACCACTCCATGGGAGAAAGGTGATCTGTTCCTGACCATACAGCTTGCAAACCTGATGGAGGGTCAACTATGAGCTGGAACCAACTCAACAACAATGCGAGGGTGGATGTATAGATAGATAGATATGTAAGCTGAACAGATATGGGGTGGTTTAAGAGTTCACTTATGAGCATATAAAGATTTGGCAGATATTTCTACATTTTAGCTGTACATATTGCATATATTTCCTGGTATGGAAAGGTCTACAAATGTTTTCAAATACAAATCTCGGAGTACTGGGTGGGACGGAATCTTTTCCATAGACTAAGCACCAGTATCCACTACCAAATTCTACTTTTAACAAGTTTATCCCTAGGGCAAATCTTCCCTTTTAATACTTCCAGTCAAGTATTGTCCAAAGGTGGGATTACTTGCTTTCTAAATCTACAGTGTTTGTTTATATCATACACTTTTTTCTTTATTTTCCCTTCCATTTAAAAAAAATGATTTGCACCCACCCATAAACATTGTGCTTCATTCATGCTCATTGTGCCCCACACAATCCCTCATATAGACTGTACTTCATAAAATTAACTACCACCATGCACACCCATATTTATTGTGGCTTTGTTCACAACAGCAGAGCTGGAAACAAGTGCCCATCAACAAATGAATGGATAGAGAAGCTCTGGTGGAATACTATGCAGCACTGAAAAGCAAGAAACTTATGAAATACTATGCAAAGTGGATGACCCTAGAGGACATTATGTTGAGTGAAATATCTCAGTCACAAGAGGACAAATATTGCATAGGGCCACTATTGTAAAACAGGACTGACATCAGGGTTGAGAGAAGGAGGGGAGGAATGATGTATATTGCATTGAAACAGATGAGGGAGAGAACTGTTTAAAAGGGTTATATGATTGGGTATTATTGTCATGACAGGAGACCAGAATGAAGGCTGCACAGTTGAGTGGACTTGGGGGGAAGGATTGCATAACAATGAAAGAGTTTTAAGGAGAAGAGTGAATTGGGGAGGATGTGGTGGGGGGAAAAGTGCAACAATGAATGACTGGAAACCCTAAATCTCTATAAACTTTCATTAAAATAAAAAAAAAAAAAAACAACTACTACCTGTGTCTATTATCACTCCATTCCTCTGAGTCCTCATGAAATCCCCTACTCTCTCTCCTCCTCAGCCACCAGACTCCATCAACCCAGCTATCAGTCCCCCCACCCCTTGAGAATTTATACATATCTTGCTCAGTTATCCTCCTATTTTCACAATTGTGATTTTTGGTTTTAAAAAAAATTATTAAATTTTATTACTTTTAATGAACATTTACAAAGCTTTTGGATTTCCATTAATTCATTGTTGCCTATTTTCTCTACCCACCCCCCAGTTCGTTCCTCCTTTTTTCCCCCCTTGAAAGTCTGTTTTAATTGTCCAATTGCCACAGTGCTTGTCAAAGGCAGTTCTGATTAATCTCCTTTGTCAGTGTGTCCTTTGCCATCCCCTACCACTCCTCCTTGAGAGACTTCACCCTGATTCATAAGGAAAAGGGGACGGTGTATTCTCTTTGCTATTTCCTGAAAAGGGACGCTGTAGGTTTCAGGGTGAAGATCTCTCACTACTCTAAAGGGCCCCTTTGTCAATAGGAAACATGTAGACTACTGTGAAGATTGATTTTGGAATTTAGATGCACTGTTATCAATTGTGCTTAGCCGTACATGTTCATATCCTTGAAGATGTATCTTGGAACTGTTGTAGCCTAGAAGACACAAATTTAACAAGTTAAAAGTATATGAGTCAAAAATTAAAAGCAATAATATTCCAAGTAGAGGTTCTAATATTGGCACAAATCAAGTTACAGAGGGAAGGTAGTTCTTAAAATAAAAGGCCTATAGACTAGCACTTTGTCTATTATAGTGTAGAGGTTAGGAACCACAAGATGTAGAGGCTCAACTATGTCATTTATTGTTCTTAAGTCCTGGACCAAATTCCATCTACCACTGGGTTGTTTTAATGATTGTGGTTTTATGCAGTATTTATCCTTATGTGACTGAGTTATTTCATTCAACATAAAGTTCTCTAGGTTCTCTCATGTAGTACTTTAAAAAAGAATTGTTCCTTAGTGCTGCATACTATTTCATTGTATGAATATACCACAATTTCTCAATCCACTCAGGTAGTTTTTTGCAGTTGGTGTCAGGATTGTTAAAAAAAGTTTACAGCATGGAACATGGGAGGCATTTCTGTCCTCATAGAAATTGGTTTTGAGATGCTGTTGCTATTGATAGGGATTCATCAATGAGATAAAACGTTGCCAGTCCACATCCAGTCAATTTTATATTTCCTGTCTAGAGCAAAGAAGAATGAAGAGAATA